ATGTTTATACTAAACAAAATATATCAAGCCAGCTTTTTGAAAACAAAATTAAATGAAAATTTTGGTGGTTTAGCGGCCAACACTGGTAAGAGGAAACACTCTGCAAACTATCTCTGCCCATCAAAATATCTTGAAATAAACTTGCTAGTGCTAAACCTTTTGAACTAAAAGTATGTATTTATGATGGGATGTAACTGCAACAAACAAGACTTGTGACTCCCAAGTCATTGCAGTAGGAGTAATACTTGACGGGCTGAAACTTTTGAAAACTAATGATATTTCACAAATGTGGAAGATGGCTGAAATTTCATATTTTGTTGTGATGGTAAAGACCCAGAGGTCATGGATAGAATTTTTCTTGTAGGTTTTTCTAGTCGTCTTTTCTGGACAGAAAGCTTCATTTGACAAATTCATGTAAACAGTTCAGTGTTAAACTTAGATTAGTGGCGACTTTAATAGTTATAAAAAAAGTGCATTGTTTTATTGTTGTAAATACACAAATTTCCAGAATTCAAGATTGGTACACAGTTTATCAAATTGGAAAAATAAAGGGAGAAGTCAGAGTAGATATTGAAAACTAGTAAACTGGGAGGATAATTGTTGAAAGTAAGCATTATTGCACACTGCTGCATCAAAATGAATTTATCAAATGATGATGGTGAAATTATTCATGGCTTAAACCTGAAAACATCCACATTGGAATCAGTAGATAATGCGATGTTCGGAACTTGAGGGTTCCTGCAGATCATGGAATCCTGGAAAAGTTTTGGAATTTAAAAACTAAATTTCAAGGATCTTGAAAAGCTATGGAAATTGTCAAAACCTTGCAAAGTTTTGGAAAAGTCATGGAATTTGAGACCATGGAGTTAAAAAAAAAGTTATTCAAATTTCATAGAGCACTATGAACCGATTAAATGAAATGGTAAAATTACAATCAAATGGTTTCAATTCATATAACAAGAGTAAGTTCCCTTAATAGAAGTATCATGTGAATTCCATTGTAGTTCGCTAAATAAAAGAAAGCAATTGGAAAATAATGTTTTTGTTAATATTGTAAATAGGAACACATACAAAGATTACATTTATCATCGGATTATGACATGAATTACAACATAAAGTCAGTGTGCTAGCCCAGATAAATTTAAAATGTACATATTCAAAATCTTTGTTAACTTTTTGTTATTTTAGATTGAAATATGTCATTCTTTATGTTCATTTACTTGACAATGCAAGATAGTGTGGTCCTTGCGTTTTATGAAATGGCCCTGGAAAAGTCATTGAATTTGTTATTGTTAAGTCTGCAGGAACCCTGGAACTTGTAAGCTTTGACAAAAAATCGGGCTTCCTGAACGGTAAGAAAAATTCCTCCCCACGAAGACGTAGTAATAATTGATGGACGGAAAATAACTTGCCATGCATTACTCCAAACAAGCAATGAGAAAAGTTAATTATTATCGGCCTATTTTGACAACATGCTCTTGGTACACCTAAATTTGAAAATTGATGTAACGGGTTTGAAAAAATAATTTCAAATATCTGTCTTTTAACTTTACAGAGAAATTAATTGACATTTAGCAAGTGTTCTTTCTGCTTCAGTCGTTTACATGCAGAAAGATTTAAATTCAGAGGGTATTGAGTGCTTTTCTTTTTCAGAAAAACGATATCTATACAACAACCAAAAAATAAGACGTACACAAAAGTTGAAAAGATTTGAAAACTTGATTTATTTAAAGTATTCACTAGTGGCATGAAAAGGACATGAATCGCTGGACAGTTTGGAACAAGATGAAAACGTAACCATTTACGACGTGCCGTCTCGATATTAGAGGTGTAAGCACAAAGTTTAAATACAAGTATAAAGGACCATCCATACTTAAACAGTTTCCAGAATGTGACATTGGGGAAAAAATATTAAAAAGCACTAGGGCATAGAATATGTGCAGTCTTGCACAGCATGTAAAAAAAAATGCAAAAACATAAAGAAAAAGTACATTCAGTACCCTCGCTAGTAAAAAAAAAAATGTTATGTCATCAGTTAAAGCCAAGCGTGCGCAATTCTTTACAGTCAGAGGGTACAACTTTAGTGCCTGTTTATAGACCGCATCATTTCGTAACAAATATGCCCTAATCTTGCAATAATAAGAGGTTATGATCCACAAATTTAGAGAAAACAATTGTTAAAGCAATTGCCAATCGGTATCACGATGGCGACATTGATTAACAGGACTTGAAAGAAACAAGTCATGATGAACTTAAAACCGGTTCAGAACAAGAAAGTAAATTATATAACAGTTGCCTCTGAATTAAAAAACGCTGTTTGTTACTACTAGTTGTGTTTGTGATTATATAATTTAAAAAATTCCTTTGGATAATGAATTCTCTAATACGTTGCAGTTCCTGATGACGCAAACAAGAAATCTAAGTCGTATTTCTTTAAGATGTGTGCGGAAACCAATCGGATTAAAATCAGATCACCGCTGTTATATATGATGTCTTATTTTATCAACCAATCAGATGCAGTCTAGAATGTTCGAGTTTGGAGACAGCACTGTGGACGGAGAAGTTAATGTGTAAGGAACGATTTGATTCACTTTCAGGTTTTTGAAAGCTGCATTTCCAATGGCCAATTCAAATGTCACCAGAACATAATCCTAAAGCGGTCGACGTCAGATCTTTACGCATGACAGCGGATATACGATTGCATTCAGATTGGTGTGAAAATCCGTTACATCCAAGGCAGCATAAACATAAGCCAGATAAAATTAAAAAGGATACGAATATATAATAAATGCATTAGTGTCTCTTGGAGCAAATTTCTTTATACGTGAATAAATTCTCTAGCATCTTTAAAATTTATTTTGATTTTTAGTGAAATAAAACGCTTAGATTATTACTATGCAAACTTGGGCTACAAAATATAAATATTGTCTACTGCAGTATAATTTATGCAACTTTGAAATTTTACATTTTTAAGAACTACAATTTTTTTTTTAATTTACCATAACTTATGCGGAAACATTTCGTTGCAAATACTGCATGTTTGTTGGATGTTAGCAAGGCGGCATGTCACGTGATTTGGTAGGCGGAGCTATCTATCATCTCGCGTAAGGTCAATTATTGTAATGCGAAATATAAATACCTATTCCGTGTGCAGGACAAGTGATCATAACGGGCAAGATTTCATATATAGAGGATCTCAAATGGGTAACGATTTAATATCGAATTTATGAAACAAGTTGAATAATGTCCAGCTTTGGCGAGCAAAAGCTGGATATTATTCGACGAGTTTCATAAATTTAATATTAAATCGTTACCCATTTGAGATTCTTTTTATCACAGTTTTTATTTCAGTGGACATTATTTAGATTGATAGAAGAACGAATAATTTCGTTCATTCTGACAGGCGGTGTACCTTTCATTTGTTGTGCATAAAATATAGCCCCGAATAAAGTTGAGCTAGTAAAATTAAATTGTACTGTTTTACAAACTATAAATCAAAGAAAAAGCTTCCATCCGAATAAACAGAACATTTTGTAACCACAAAATCATTTTTTCAAAATAGAATTATAAATGCGATGTGATGCTGTCGCATTGTTTTACGGTAAGCAGTCACAGTTCAGCAGGCCGTCAGTAGAAATATACGTGGCCCCTAAAATGTGTTTTAAAATGTTACATTGTTGCGATTTTCATGTGAAATTGATTACCGGATGCAAAAAGTCCCACATTTACTGTAATGCATCTGTGACCTGATATTTGTAGTGCTTGATTTGAAAAATAGACTGCAAAGAAGACGTCATCGAATTTATTTTTTATATCGGATTTACATCCATATATGCTACGTAAAGATGCTGTAGTTGGATAAAGATCTAACAGTTAGGAGACCCATTCATGTCCAGATTATTCTCCGAACAGAGGTGAGTTTGTTTACTTCGTTAATTTAACATTTAAACCAAGCTTGTATATACGATGAATTCTATATCTATGTTACTGATATACGCACCCCCCACACACACCCCGCTATCCCTTAGTTTTATTCGTTATTGTCGTTCTTGTCTTGTAGTTTTATGCCATTTTTCTTATGATGATATTGTTAAACATGACATAATGAACCTATGTGGTAGTAGCATATCCATATTGACACAGCCGATATGATATTTCCTCAATTTCCGGTTGCGAGTCGAGTTCAAAAATGGCCGGCAAAAAATGTTGATTCAGATGGAAACATTCCAGAAGGCGGGGTTAAAAACGTTTTCCCACGGTCGCAGCCAATCATTAAAGACACTAATGCACAATAATTTCATGATCTCATCTGGACCAATCAGAATCACATAAAGTGATATGTTCACAAGTATAATATCAAAAATATGAACCTGCACGCACTGTAGGAAAACAATACCGACTATGTGATAAAGACAGAGACGTGTTGCAATCTTTAACACTTTTTGACCTTTCTGGCAAGGATGCAAACATTTCTTAGCAAATGTAAAGTTCGAAGTACGTACGATTGGCCTAAGCAATGATCCTAACTTAAACAATTCAACAAATTCCAGTTACAATAGTTACTTTGGGCCAATAAGAATAATAGTGCAAGACAATGGTGGGAAATGAAAGATGTGCCTCGTTTAGTTTACACATAAAACAAGAGCCGGAAAAAGTTTTCTCTTGTATTGCAACAGATGATGTAGATTAAAAATAAATTTACAAGTGATATCCCGTGTAGTATACAAGTAAAACTGACTGACAACAAGAAATTATAGGTTTAAAAAGCACATTTAGAAATTAGTTTCGCTAAGTTGAAGTATGACACCATCTTGTACAGATTGTAGCATACTGAAGCTCAGGCAAGTTGTGCTGCATCTGTTGGTGTAAATGTTGTCCCCAAAGCCGACTGTTTGAACCAAAATGGTCTGATCTTCCCACTGTATTGTGCTGGCAATGTCACATTGCTCTCGTTCTTCCTAGTCGGACAAAAAAATTTAGATATCGAGCACTCCAAAGAATCATTAGTCAAGTGGGATCAAACCCACGACCTCCCGCATCCGAGGCGGATGCTCTAACCAACTAGGCCACCGGCGCGGTTTTTATGTAGTTTGGTAAAAGTGTGCTATTTAGTTTTAAAATTTATTTTAGGTTAGCACTCATCACAATGGATTGTTTGGTAGGTGATGTGGGTAGTTAGTAAAAGGATATGTTTTCCTTCACGTCCAAGCTTGAGAGATATAAATCGCAGCGTTCGTCATTCAACATTCAATAGGATTAGTATACAACGTTCTGCACTCCGCCTCGTGATCCATCGCCTTCCCGCGCTAGGCACAACTACAGTCTAAGTGGCACATGCAAATAAAAAGTAGCCGGAATCCATAATGGCGCTTGGACTTTAAAGTGATAGAACACCGTTTTACTAGCATACTACTAGGGAATAAATCTTTTAACAACAGTATTTTTTGTTGTTGTTATTCAATCTCTAAATTGATATTTTAACATCCGTAAGTTGTAATGTCATAGAAAGCTATCTTTTTGCTCATTATTTCTGAACAAACGAAAATATTCCGCACCTTAATGTATGCCAAATGACGATAGAGCTTACATTTTCGTCGCATGTAGTTTCTACACGGCCAACATGGAACAGGCAAAACTCCCGCTTTGCTATGTCTAAGGTAAACTTTACAACACTTAATACGTCAAGAGTTTGTTACCAAACATCCACAACTGATATAAAGATCATGGTAATTCATTTTCATTATAAGTATACTTATGGCAACGCACTTCTTTAAAATAAAATGTATGCATGGCCTGTTTCCCTTTTTATTCCCTGCGCTTACGAATGGCACTTGTACGCTCATGGCGCATACCAAAAAATTATTTACGAGCATTAAGAAACATGCTAGAATATGGCACCAGGACATACCGCTGGCCCCATGTCATTTGTCTGCCTGTCTCCAGATTAAGGATGTATGATTTAAGATTCTGTACCAAATAAGAATAATGCCTTTTAAATCATTCCACCACATCTCTGCTGGCTACACCCGCCCTCTTCCTCCTTATTGAAGGAAAAAAATCAAAACAGATAACAGATCTAAGTCATCCACAATGCTATCTTTTTTAAGATTACCATCTGCATCATCGGTCTTCCTTATAATTTAAAGTCTGCTATTTTGTCAAAGTAAGTTCCAGTAATAACTTTGGGTGTTGTGCCTTTCTTCTCCCTCTGTATAATTTACTCTGCTTGTATATGTTGCAAGGTTGTTGCTATATGTCAATTTCTAAAAGTGACCAGAGCTGCATTTTCCTGTTTTAATGTTCTCTTTCTTAAACAATGTTCTCTCTACCTTACTGTCCTCGTATTTATTTTAATACACTTTTGTTATTATTGAATGTCAATTCTTGTCAGGTAACATTAAAACGAAGGTACTGTTTATAATTTCGACATATTATCATCTCTGGCATTGATCCAAACAAACACTGCCAGCCGACTCATTCGAGAGGTAAATTACTGTGTTTATCGTTTTCGGTCTTTGTCTTTGATAGCGAAGAAAATCCTTTTAGCTTACTGTTTTTTGTTTTAAAATTGAATATTTATAGCCATGAATATGTTTTCCCTTACCGAAAATTGGTCATCAAGTATATCTAAACAAGAGTAACTTTTGGTTTAAAAAAAAAACAAAAAACAAGTAGATGAAAGAGTAGATAAATAGTACTAAAGGTTCGCTGCATTTGATGTATAATGGTTCAACAATTTAATACACATTTAGAGATATATCGAACTAATTTCACTTTTCCTAATGTCCTCTGTTTCCCAAATATTTATCAAAACAATAACGGTATTTGTCTAACATGAATGACGTCAGTGTGCTCTATGGTTGGCTAATAGAGATTGTACGTTATCTAAAACTACTCACCATGTTTTATTTACATTAGTAAACATTTTTGTTCTTAATCCATTCAGTTTGATGTATGTGCAAGGTTCCTCTTAGAGGCTACTGTTTATCTTTGTGCAGTGTCAAATGTTCAATCTTGCCAAACACCAAATGTTTTATTTTCACTAACTTCTGTCCAAATTCAGAATGTAAAATATATCATAAATCTCATAAATGTTTAGTTCTAATAATCATTGAAGCTAACTTTAATGTATCTTGTTATGTAGGAAAATCCTCTAAGTTCAATGAATCTTCCTTAAATCAGTTTGCTATAGTTGAGCTTTTACAGAAATATGTTGTCTAATTTTTCTACTGAAGACCTTTAAATATAGCTCATTATCCTCGAAAGGTTCAAAAACTTGTTTGGGTACCGCTATAAAATCTATATTCATTTACTTTTCTTTTTAATTTAATTTAATTTTTTTATTGTAATGTTTACGTAACATTTCTGCCGATTCACCCTCCTAAATTCATTACTAGAGGTCGTGATTGGTTGGTTATCGCCTTATTTTGATTTATTTGACTCGAAATATTTTAGAATTGTTTCTCTTGTTTCATGTTTCGTCTGTAGTTTGATTTAACGTCACGTTATTAGATATGTCATGCTGACAAACAGGAATTAAGGCCCTTTTCTAAGGAAAACACCGAGACAGCAAACTGAGCTTGGCCGGGACGGATTACGAACGAGATATATATTATATTATATTATATTATATTATATTATATTATATTATATTATATTATATTATATATATATATATATATATATATATATATATATATATATATATATATATATCTGCTGCATGATGCAAAGTGCTAGCCATCACTATAATCTGCAACACTACAGACATTTTAGCGGTGTAACTGAAATTTTTTAAAGCTACGTTAGAAATCCATATCTCACACACACACACACACACACACACACACACTATTAGAGCAGTGGTTCTTAACCCAAATATCACGATTGCTGCATGATGCAAAGTGCTAGACATCACTATAATCTGCAACACTACAGACATTTTAGCGGTGTAACTGAAATTTTTTAAAGCTACGTTAGAAATCCATATCACACACACACACACACACACACTATTAGAGCAGTGGTTCTTAACCCAAATGGCACGATTTAATTTCGGGCGATATGCTGTTTTGAGTGGATCGCCGAGATGGACCTTGATAATTTCAAAGTTTCTACCCAATCGGTATTTTTTTATTTATTTTTTTATCATGGAGAGTTGTGAGGCTAACTCCACAAACCTAATCTGTGTCCCTGCCTAAAAATTTTAAGAACCGCTGAATTAGAGGAAAGAACACTTTTCAAAATGTATATACAGGATTATGTCGCATGATTGCATTTTATCACCGAATAAACAATATTGGATCTCACTGGTTGCATGATTTATCATCCGGTTTAGCTTTTACAAGATTTTGCTTGCATAGGGCCTATGAAACAAAATACATTTATATGTATTTACAAAAGTAAAGACGATCATTTTATTCAGAATTTGAACGCAGATTGATATAACTTTACAAGAGCAATCTTATAGTACCTTCTTAATTTTGGTTTTCAAGATTTTAGACAGGTTTTAAATTTACACAATAATTAGATTGGTTTTTAAAATATCGGAACATTACCGCATGTATGTTAGAGACAGAAGCGGATACTTGGATCAATCCACTTAAAACCTCGAGAATGATTAGGGCATGTTAACATTCTTTAATACTAGACGATCTATCTCATATTTTTCTCCACGACAACCCTCGTGCAGGCGTAGAAAATATTCCATACCCAGTCAAATTATTGAAAAAAATCAAACATGATAAAACTTTTTTTGTAGAATGTCAGCAACGCTGTCATCTTTATATATATATATATATATATATATATATATATATATATATATATATATATATATATATATATATATATATATATATATATATATATATATATATTCTTTAATTCTATGACTGGCCTATACTATAATAAGAGAAAATGCATGGTCTATTTCTATTCATAAAGTCAAGGTCGATCGAATGCCCAAGTTGACTTCATCCTATTTTCGGCTAAAAAAATCTATGAGTTTTGGAATACAAGTCAGATCAACATCTTTTGATCTAGGAAGTCCATTTGTACCGCAGAAGATCAGACTGCCCTAGTTGGTGATTGGTTCGATAAAACAATTTAAAAAAAAAAAAAAAATATCAGCTTTACAATTTCAACGTTCACAGTAGAAATACTTAAGAACTCCTGTCATAACGATCACAAAACCGGTACAGCATAGAGTGGAAACACTGCGCATTTAATTCCTTTCAAAAACCACTCTATACGCAGCATAATGCGAAATACTACAGTAGTCAAAGATACCTTTCTGGATTATTGTAAATTATTTAAGGACTTGGATATTTAACAATTTCGTTGGATTACATCAAAACATTCAGAGCCGTTTTGTGACATCCACCTTTCTTTGGATTTACGTTGAACAAGTAAAAACATTTGTATATTCAAAGGGTATTTCTTACGTGGAGCTGTCACCTACGTACATTAGAACCTTTCATTTGGAATACGTTCGGAATGTTTTCGGATTATGTGAAATTTATAGTACTTTTAGGAAATTCTTGGAATCCGTACCATACTTTAAATTATTTTTAATTCTTATAATTTTTTTGCTTTATATTTAAGAGAAATAAATTATAATTGGACTATAAATTGTTTGTTGGGGTTTTGCTTCTTTTTTCTTGTTATGTAGTTTAAGTCCAAAGGTCGTAATACATGTGAAACGAATTTGTATATTTATATACGTAAGAAACATCTTTTATGATATGTATATCCACGTGTACACACATTTCTAGATTTCTGATGTGAATTCATATGTATGTATATTCTTGCAATTGTTTTTTTTTCCAGGGATACATAAATGCTTGTTACTTTAAAATACTTTATGAAAATGAAGACTGAAGATAATTGCAATTAAAATATACGAATTACTGGATACAATATTTTCCTAAATTCCGCACGTTACTCGCATATAGAAAATTTATTATAATTTGGCATAAAAAAGTAAGGTGTTGACATCCTCTCACATGATGTGATATATATATATATATATATATATATATATATATATATATATATATATATATATATATAT